ATAAAGAGAAGAGAAAGAACTTAATCTCTCATCGTAAAATAATTTACGCGTTCTTCTTTGGCTCTACTTTTCATTACTATTGCATGACGTTATTAGCGTTATGTTTGAAAAATAAATTGCGCAAAGAATCTCCACTTTGAAAATACATTTTATGTCCTTGCAGCTCTCTTTACTTTATAAAGAAAGAAGCAAATGGCCGCGAAAGGAATAGGAAAGGGTAATATGCGAACGAGAAAGTTTTTTCACGATGGTTTCATGTAAAGATTAATTTATTTTCTAAATTAATCCGTATGTCTTGTATACGTGATTTCGTTTATTATACCGTCGCTTTATTGCTGCTTCTTTCCATTCTGTTCCGTTTTGTTTGTAGTCGCTGACTTCCTTGAATATATCCTTAATTTTGATTAGCCAGAACCATCCATTTATGTAGATTTGGCAATCACCCTGTACCCTTGAACTCACTCCGTGATGATTGAGAATTCAAAGTTAGTGTCATTTTGTGTTAACTGTTCCATTCGGCTTAATTACTTAAGAGTAATTGTAAATAAATATTCCTTAGAACTTTCTAATCTGTCCAAAGTTTATACGAAGTCTGTCTAATTGTGAGTTACATTTGAATTTGACAATTAATATCCGTAAGAATAGAAAACACATTGATTAATTTTATAAAGATTATGCTTTCGCCATATTTAGTTTCATTTACATATTCGTATATCGTAATATTCTCAGTAATAAAATCTTTCGATCTTTCGAATATACAATATAATTCCAATAAACAACAGTTGTTAATATGATAAAATACATTTTTTGTTATTTATAACAAAGAAAAAAAAAGTGCTAGTATATGCTTTGAAACGAAAGTATCAGCATAGATTTAATGGATATGCACAATTTCTCATGTGTGCGCTCGCACGTGGAAATCCTCTCGGCGAAAAAAAAAACCCAGCGGTAAAATGCGCAAAGTCGACCGACGAGGCTTTACGATTCGCGATCATTTAACGTCCTCGTTTAGTTGAGGCCATAGTAGTGCAGTGCAACGAAGAAACGAGTAAATGGCTTGTTTATGTGCTAGAATGAAGGAAATAGGAAAGACGGGGGAGAGTAGATTTATTGCGGCTGAGAAAACTCTAGATATTAGACAAGTTCCGATATTGTTTTGTTCTCTCTTGTGAAGCTGATCCGCGCGATCGAAGTGCGGTCTTTTGCGAGTTTTCTTTTTATGCGAGAAAGGTAAATGATAAACATGGACTGACTAGGATATATATTTTTAAATTGTATTAAATAAAATTTTAAAGATTTTAAACATATTTATTATTTGGCCATAGCTATAAGATTGGAAAATCAAGAAACAAATTTTTCAAATGATGATTATATGTATATAACACATATCTAATAAAAAATAATAATTTATTTATATGTACATATATATCCTTCAGTTACGCAATTTTTTAACGCGTTTTTTTTTCTTTTGATTAAAAACTTGTTAATTTTCAAAAGAAAGAGATATTTGCAATTATTTATTTAATATTTATTTATTTCATTATTAAAATATTTGCAATTAAATATCTAGAAACATGTATTTAAATCTGTTAAAAAAAAACGTAAATGGAAGAAAACGTTATATGTGATGTGTGAACTATTATTTCTGCCGAAATTATTTTTTCGTTTCATCATAGAAGAAGATTGTCGATATTAAAGTGTTTTAAAACCTTCTTTTTCTATGCTCATAAATATACTACTAATCAATTTATTAATGTGAATTTCATTATTAGGATATTTTATTATTAGAATGAAGAAAATTAAGGAAATTATTTATTCAGACATTGGGGGAGGGGTATTTACAAGGTATAAAAATTTGTCCTACAGTTTGGTGATGTTATACAATCATCTTGTCGATGTAATACACCTCATTTTATTTATTACTCCAACTGTATTATCTCATCGCAAACGAAGCATTTACGAAAAAAATATGCTGTGCAAACTTCGACGGTAGTATTTTAGGTGCGTGATGGTGTAGCTGCAAGTTTTTCGCGTAATGTCGTCGTGAGATTTTTATGACCCGCGATCGCGCTTAACGTCCCGATCCAGGCGCGCTACGAGGAAACGAAAAATACACGAACAAATGGCACGGCTTTCGTGTACTACAATGCGCTGCGCGTCGGAGGACCGGAGGTTAGTCGAAGAGGTGACGGAGGAAATATATAACACGGATAATATACGAGCCTGATGTTACCGTGTTTACGAGCGTAGGTGACGCAATCCTACCGAGGAAAGAGAAACGGAGTAATGCCGTTAAATGAATTTGTAATTCATAAGACTTCCCGAGAGGCGAACCAATGCATCCCTTCATATTTGCGCGATGGTAAATTGCGCAGGCTGTTCGCGAGAAGGCGAGGAGGATAACATCTCATCTCGTTTCACAGCGCACATACACGCATGCGAAGATGTAGCTTTGTTACGAAAAATTACATTATGATAATGTCACGAAAATCTTTCCCTCGCTGCTGAGCGAAAATCGTGCGATTTGCATAGCGCGACCGCTATGTTTCAGCCCAGACACGTCGTAAGAGGTAATGTGCCACCATTTTGCATTATCACAAGCAAGGATCGCAGATTGCGTACAATGTATTCGATATAATGCAATGTCATTCTCTTTTTCGTTCTTGTTTTGCAGCGTGGAAATTATGCAGGCACCGTAATTACATCGAATATGTTGGTATGCACAGCAGTTTTCTTGCACCATTCCGTCGTTCGCAGTCACGTTCTCACGTCACGTGACGAAAAATCCGACATTGAATCGTATCTTTATGTTGATATGACGTGCAAACTTCTCTCTCGGTGCTCAAATTTGATATTTTTCGCGATACGTTCTCTAACATTAGTAAAAACCTCGCGCAGCCGATTAGTAGTCTTCTTCTAATTGCCGAGTAACGCATCAAACGGAATCTTTAGATTTGTTTCGACGTTTTATAAAACAGTAAATGTGATGGAATCCGTAAAGAAGGGGCAGGTCAAGCTTTTGTTTCGCTCACAAGACTCGCCATCGAACGAAATAATAAAAGCAACGATGGGTACTTACTCATTACAAACCTTTCCCGATGAACGAACGATCGTGCGTATAGTAGCGTTCGCGCGTTCGGTGGAACTTTAATTAACAATACGTCACAAAGAGTTCCGCAGTTGCCGAACGCGAGCGACTCCAATTTTATTACGTTTCTGACGAAAACTTGAATTACTTATAACGACTTTAATGCACCGTCTATGCGTTAGATGGACAATGAAAAGATTCGATAAGGATGCTGCTCCTTTAAGCCCGACAAAGTGCATTAAAGAACCGATCCGGACATCACGACGCGTCGACTTTCTACGGTGATGAATACACATGGAATGGAACTTCGAAGCGTTAAAGAGCTTTAAAGCTCGTAGCTGGATCGAACTTCATTCGAAGAGAATGAGCGCTAAATTATTTAAACCGACTTTAGACGAAAGCTCGTGGCAGTACGTTTAACGAGAAAGCGAAGAGGATTTGCAGTTTCTGCAGAAATCTTTGATCGCCGCAAAACCTTAAGTAGATTGATGGATAACGGAATTCTCGATTTTAGATATCTCGATTTTAAATGCAATTTTGTAATCGATTAAATCATTCAAATGATAATTCTATTTAGTTAGTTGTTTGTAATATTTTTCCGATGTATTTATATACATACATACTCATGGAATTGCATTTCTAATGAAATACTTTTCTTTTTCCTTTTTTACAAATAAAAATGATCTGAAGATACCTTACAGTTACATTACATCTTCCTTAATTAAAATAACAGTATACAAATTAAAAAGAGAAAACAATGTTATTTTTTAAAGCTATTTTAACATTCTGAAAATATCAGTTTATTAAGATTTGTGAAGACATTATGATTCTTTGGATTTTCCACTATTTTTTCACTATGTAATGTCACATCAAATTTTTGTAAAATAATTGATTATTAAAATTTGCAAAATTTAAATATCTATTTAGTTATCTTTTTTCATTAAATACATAGCTGAAGCGCCTCTCCCTCTTGTATGGCGAGCGCGTAGGAACGAGACGCGTTTATAGTGTTTGTCCTCCCACTGTGATCATGGAGGTGGTGGAAAAGCTTGATCTCAATGAAATGGTACGAAAGTGTAAGACGTGGGAGAAAAATAGAAAGATACGAAGAGAGAAACCTTATTCGAGTAACGTCTGAGTGTCTGAAAATGCTGACGACACTGGCTCTCTTATCCTTTCGAGAGGTGCCTTTTGCACGTAACGAGTAAGAGCATTCTCGAAAAGGGATCGGAACGAAGGAATTCCGGAACACGAAAGACATTCTTTTCGTCGAAACTCTTCATGATTTTTGTTCATTCTTTGTATAATTGCACTGTCGCTAGTGCACTTATACAACAAATGATCTATTAAGCGACTTATTAAGCAGGATATCGATAACGATAAATTTGTATATTTCTAATAAGAAATATAAATAATGTATTGTCATTGACTAAAAGGTTGCAGCACTTTTTATTTTGATGGATTTTGGAATGCAGTTTTGCTCATGGAGCGGTTGAACATTAATTGGTTAGATCCATTGATAGGAACCAATCGCTCGGTGAACAGATTGTGTTCAAAAAATAATAAAAAATAGTGTTGCAATCTTTTAGTTGATGACTATACATAAACAACGGAACTTCAAAATATTAAGCGAAACGATCTAATTAGTACGCGATTAGTACTTACAACACTTGATCGCCGCAACCTATAATTAAAGAAATATCAAGAATTATAAAAAGTAACAGAAAACCAGAATTAAAGTTTACAAAAGTTTATTGGCGAACAAAGTGTTCAATCTTTTTCGGGGTCCCCACGAATCTCAAATCCTTGGATCACAGCCAATATATAATAATATATATATTAATTTTTTTATTGGAATCTTAAATGATTATACATATATATGGGGAAAGAAAAGAAACTTGTAAGACAATAAATTAATAATCAGATGTATTATTAAGATACGTAGAAATATGTAAATATCTTAAAAAGTAGAAATAGAGATCTAGTTAAGATACTAGTTAAGATTTAAAGTGAAAACGCAGAACGTATTTCTCTTTTTTTTTCCTCTAGCGATTGGTCGCGTCATTGTTGCTTCGCGATAACAGTATCTCTAATGCAAATCTTTTCGCCTCGACACTCACGACAACATTACGCGGTATAGTCTTATCATTTTCCCAACGATGTTTTTCCAAGCGCGAGTTTTCGTTCGAGTAGCCAATCAACCGTCCCATTGTGCGCTTTATGACGCTTGCCGATCGAAGTGTACGTATTGTTATGGCTACGATGCGGTCTCGTTTCATCCCATCGTTCTCCGACGAAGTTCCGTTCTCCGCTTGTGAGCTGCGGCGAAGAAAGAAATCCTGCTACTTGTTGAGATCGGTACATGTGCACGATGTAAGGCACTTGGAAAAAGGAAACATATTGGAGGGTTACATTCGCGCCACCCAGCGATTGAACGCAACTAATGCGATTGCGTCGCAGGTCGCAGGTGCATTCCTTGCTAGGTACGCATGGCGACAATGCGAGAGAAGATGGAGAAAATCCTGCCCGCGATCTAACCTACGACCTATGATCTCTAACCTCAGCAAAATAATTCACGTCTCTCGCTATGCCATCCTGGGAACAAATACGCGCCATCGTTTTTCGCCGTGCTACGTTCTTCTCGCCCAATGGCGCATGAAACTTTTACGGATCGTAGTATATCAAGGCCAGATGAGTCCTGGTGTTTGGAATGATCGTCGAAAATCGCGATGCTTGAGAGAACACATGACAGGACATCAGTCCTCTGAAGGATTGTACTGTTGTTTCATTTTGCATGTAGATTGTTCAATGTTATAGGAGGAATTTTGTGGTAAAAATTTTGTTTAAAATTTATTTGTAATGTTTATATTTTTTGTTCTATCCTATAAAATATCATGCTTTATACGGGACATGTCATGGACATATCTAGGAAAATGCACGGATGCATTTGTATACGCCAAATGTCTGCAACTTTAACACTCTATCCTTGACATAATACAAGAGATAAATGAGAAATGAAACAGACGTGAGATATCATTGATGCAATATGCAATAACGATAGTAAAAACACAACGTATACATTTGTTTATTGTAAAAAGTAATAAATTAAATTATAATGCTATTTTGTGTTTTACTTTTATTATTATTTCATCTTGGTTTTTAATCAAGTCGTCTCACTCTGAACTTTAAACGCTTGTAACTTAAAAAAAAATGGTTTTAAGAAAAAAATGTTTTAGATAAAAATTACTTGTTTTTTAATAAACTTTTTAGTAAACTACGGAAATGATTGGTTTTATGTAAGTGCCCATTAAAAATTTCAAAGTTACCCTTATTTTATTCCGCTAGAAAAGACGAAGAGCGGAAGAGTCTTGACATAGATTTAAAGATTTTGCAAGCCTAAAAAGATTTCAGAGCAGAACAATTCAATTTGATCGTGTAATTCTCGAGATATCAAACTATTACAGATGGGCCACCTTGTATGTATATGTAAAAGTTAACAGTACGTTTTCCCTATTCCTTTTGTAAAGAAATTCGTTTCTCTTGATCAATACGCTTTCTATTTTTCATCGAGCACTCCAATTTCGTTTCTTAGTCGGTTCACGACATCGAGAAACAAATCGTTCGTGTTATTGAACAAATTCGTAAGCGCGATACGCTCTGCTTACAGATGCGGTAATAAAATTTGTCTTCCCTCGCTATTGTCTCTTTTTCAATCTTCACTTTACCTTTCCGCTGCACCTTCTTTTTTCTGACTCGTTAGCACTTTCTCTTCTTTCTCGTTACTTTACTTGGATTTATCCACGAGTTTTGTCTCGAAAGTTTATCAATACGAAGTAAAATTAATTGTTTTTCTTCGTGGCAGCCACGCGATTCTCGGATTCCGTCTGCTGCATGTTTTGTCTCGCTTCGTTCCCATTCTCCGACCAATGTTTCCTTCCGTTTAATCAGAATTAATCGTAACCGATCGCAAAAGCAATTTGCGACCGTAGACCAGACGGCCGATTAACTCTGACAAAGACCACGCAAAAAAGCAAGCCGATTGTCGCCAATTGCTAAAAGGTATATAGCAAGCTACAGATGATATTTAAATGACTTTTGCCGAGGAAACTAAGTATTTGTCAGAATGTGAGAGATACTTGAGAAATTTCTAATTTTCAATGTTACATTAAAGGGCCAGGACATATTTGCTAATGTTGATAATATATTTATCTCATAATTGTATTGTCTGCTTAAAAAGCTGATTGTTTAGTATAAAACCAAATTCTGTGAATTTTAATTCTGTATTAAAAATAATAAAAATTTGGCTTGCATAAATATTGATTTGTTTTGTGAATTTATTGTTAGCATTAATTTGTTATAATACGTTACGAAGAAACCTTTTTCGAAAGATAGCAACTGATCGGAAAGACACATATAGATGGTATACTTTAATCTAATAAATACACAAAAAGTCATCTCGATATACGCTATTGTTCATTAGTAATTCTTGTCATGAACTGGAATTCTGCTCCTTCCCATACACTGTTTCGATCTCTATGAACTAGGAAAATACCAGCTCTTTTATCCTGTTTTATTTTAACCCATACCGACCGCGATAGAACTGAATTCATCGCGCGCTCAGCGATTTGCGGAATTGCTCAAGCAGGCTTTCTCTACCGCCACGGTCTTAAGAATGATCCCATTATCTTAAAAGTATAACTTTATCGTCCACGAAGCCTATATCGTCATCGACTAAATCCTGTAGTTTCCTTACGTGACCAGCATCGGTCATTGATTCCTCGTGCGAATCTGATTTGATCTTTCTTTTACTATTTCCCCCTTTTTTTCGCAATCCTCTCCCGCTCAAAAAATTTTATTCTTCTTCCTCTAGTATCAAGATAAACTTATATTTATGTATTTACAAACAAAAAATCTCAGTCTTCGTTACAGCTTATTGTTAGGTAAAACCTCATCTCGATTTGCTAAAAACCGATACATTTTTTAGATAAAGTCTTGGTTACATAACGTTATTGTTATTTATAAGAAATTTTAATGTATCTTATGATATCCCGATAATAAGAACGATGCCAATAAATAATAATGACGTGAATTTTTCAATATAATTTACGTTTCTTGTATAATTCTTTCTCATCAAAATTGATATGTCACACTTTTTATAATTTTGAAAAACAAAACGAATTTGTGAACGTCATAAGTTGTGGCTGTCACGGTCAAAAGATGTCCAACAGCAGATGGCGAATGTCGGCACGCCATGTTCGAGCAATAAACTCCATTGCGGCGCTATAACCGCGTCGGACTTCTGTGGAAATTTTAATTCAATTAGGAACATTGTGGTCGAGGGTTAAGGCGAAAGGTCGGTATTTAACATGGAATTTAGTTAAGGAGTTTCCTTTAACTCGGTTATAGTTTTCAAGCAGACGCTCGGCGTACTTACTGTTCGCGACAACTCGCACAAAGACGCCCGAAAGTGCGCACATGCAAGAACCCTGACAAACCATATTAATCGCATGACATAGATTATCGCAATTCCCGAAACTTTAATAAAATAAGTGAAAATTGCGCCTTTTAACAATTAACGATACTTAAAAATTTACAGCTGTTATTTTAATGAGATATTTTGAATAAAAATAATTGTGTTTTGCTACTTCATAATTTTCTAATTTTTTATTCATCGTTTCTATGACGTGTGCATACTATATTAATAAACTTAATTAATCAAAATAATTAAAAATATATTACAGAAACTTTTATAAATATAACATATAAAAATCGTACATCATGTTTATAAAAGATCTTAATTTTAATTTTAATTTTTAAATTTGTAATATTTAATGTCTTAAATTGTATTTTTTTACTTTAATTTTTATTTAATATTATAATATTTTAATAAAAACATTTGACTTTAGTCAAAAAATATCATTTTATAAAAATACCATCTTTATAAACGTCTGCAGAATTAATTTAATTTAGATCTTATAATCTGATTCTAATTTAATTTAATCTTGAAGTTTGTTCTGTGGAATAACAGCGAATTCGCAGGAATAACAACGTCTAATGACGTATTAATGTTGGATTGTTATGAGCGATTTAGTGCAAGTAATAATAAATGAGAGCATCAAAAGGATAAAGCAAGATAAACCTAAGGAAATCAAGGCTTTCATTCAGAATGAAGAACACGAAACGGTAGAAGATAGATCGATAGAGAGTAGGATGTGTGTATATATATATATATATATATATATATATATATATATATATATATACAATATATATTGTAACATCGTGAGATTCAAAAGTGATTAGTTCCGTTAGGCAGCGCGAATCCGATCTCAATGGTCTTGATCCTGCTCTTCTATCGTCGTAATTCAAACTTGCAGACTATCAGAAATGCATTGCATACGGAATCATACACGCAGTCGAGTCTGTCACAATAAAGGAAGGATTTACACAGTAACGCTTGCAGAGCGGAAATGGAAACGATTCGCGTCTTTGAATCCTGTATGGCGTTTGTGATAACGTAATATTCCGTTACGTCGAAACGTTTTGCAATCTTTGCCTGTGCATGTGCCACACAAATGTTTTTCATTAGAATAATTTACATAGCAACTGAATTAAGTGACTTGAAGCGGTTTTCTAATGAAATTTGTCGTTGTGCCTGAGAAATTATCGTTTCTGTTTAATTCTGAGCAGATTTAAATTTGTTAATCTCTACTGAATTTACGGTGCAAATTTATTCTGTTTAACTTTTCGATGCGTTGAATTTATTTCGTAAACTCAGAGAACTCTAAAAATTTTAACGAAGATGCAAAATCAGAGTAATTATTAAACCGATAAATTTATCACCATTTATCTAGATTTAGTATAAAAACGCGCAAGTTTTACGTAAAAACGTCTAGTAATTAACAATTTGACGCAATGAAAGTCTTTAAGTGCGAGAACGAATCGTTTATTTAATTTATGTATTGCTAGTGTGTGTATCACCAATCTTGAATTATCAATAAATAATTTATTGATATTAAATGCAACGGTAAGTTGTAGCTTTGTTTGAAAGAAATTTTTATAGGCTACTCAAAATTGTTGAAAACTTCTTGTATCGACATAAAAGGCTATTATTTAAAATCGATTTGAGATAGAACTAAAACTAATTGTTTGTACGCGCGTGTAATTTATTTAAAACAATATACTAAATAAGAATAAAAACATAAATATATAAAAACATAAAAAACATAAATAAAAGAATAACAGAATTTTTAAAATATTTAATTGATAATCTTTGAGATATATTTTAGTCAATCGAAAAACCGTTTACAGTGGTAAGATTAAAAACTATTATATTTATATTGATTATATTTATATTGCGAATATTCTATCGACCACTTGCATCAGAATAAATTTTAACAACACATTACTAACTTATTAATTTCTTTGCGATTAAGTGACCATTCGCTCATTCGTTGACATACCGAATATCTTGCATGAATCGCTAATGATAAAAAAATCCGCTTTTCTTTTATTACCATATATCGTGATGAGCACAGATAGATGATAAAGACGCAAAGCGAAAATTTTCTCACGCCGTGCTTTTCTGTCAATCACATTCACTTCAATGAATGAAACAAAATCTCTTTTTAAAAAGTCTCGCGTACCTACGGCTCGGTCGCTCGACGATTTCACTAACCGCGAAACGCGGCTTTGGTCGAGTAGTATTTCCAGCTTTTATCTTCTACAAAGGATGGAACACGATTGGGCGGTATTTCGCATATTAACTGGATCGCAAAACGCATTGCGGCATTTAATCCTTTAACAAAGTGTTTGTGCTCGATATAGTACCTATATATGGTTACGGTACATACCATATTTACTCTAACCAATACAACTAAATATAATACAACTAAAATATGCAATATGAAAAGCCGATTTTTTTCAATGTCCTGTCTCTTACATCAGCTTTTATTACAATATAATAAACATATTCG